GCGGCTTTGCAAAGCTGTGAAAACAAACCCTCGGTGTCAGGAACCTTATCATGTCTGTTCCCTCAGAGGCAGCGCATTTATAAAGGCCATACCCAAGTGAGTGGACAAGCATACCAGGCTGAGGATAAGTGGCACGGAGGTGCACACAGGAAATTCTGACCATTCATCTGCTAGCTCACGCAACACTTCATTCCTGGCCAGATAGATTTTGGTACTAGGACATTCAAAAGGGTTCTAATCAAAGGATCTGTGGTGCAGGGCACTACCTAAGAAATGCACAAAGTCCATGGGTTTAGGGTCACAAGAGCTTAGCTCGTAGTTCAGATGGGTCCAAACTGCAGAGATCTGATGCAAGCTTCCCTAACTTTGGGCAAGTTTGAATCTGGGAGAGGAATCTGGCATGTGTGTTGGTTTGCCCCACTGCAGTTACTGGTCGGTCACAATGTTTGGGTCTACAGCCAGCACAGGCAAAGTTCATAGGACTTTGAGTGCAGGGGCAAGTTGGGTTCAGTTCTCATTCCAAGCTCAAAAAGAGCCAAAAACCTCAAACAAAACTGAGCTAAATACACTGGGTTTTCCCAGACCCAGATGAGTTAGATGGAAAATGGTTGGCACCACTCCAAGTTGAAGATTGGATTTGAGGACCCATCATCCTCTGCCCAGCTGGAGGATAAAGGGGTGCAATGCGTACACAGGACCTACCATAAACAGGGTTCAATTCTAGCACGTCCCTTTATCAGAGCTGCCACCGGGTAGCCATTGGCAAGGCAGATTCTATTTCCATTATCAAATTATTTGCCACTGGGCTTCCCCACACAGAAAAGTGCCAAGAATTCCAAGATATCTAGTCCCCTACTGACACCCAGATAACGTGAACATTACTCACCTGTGCGCTAAGAGACCTGGTTTATTGTTGAGTAATCTAACTCCTCAATGTCAAATGCCTGTGATGTGAAGATGTGTGGTGCCTCCTAACAGTCAATAGACACAATTCATGCGACTCTCTGGTCACACAGCACTGGTGTTCATGTTTCCACAGGATGCCTGCAGTGTCTGTTACCTGGGGCTTCTCTAAAAAGTTAAGATGCCTGACTCACACTTCAAAGTAGAGAGTTTCACATGTCCAACTGGATTCAGAAACCTCCCTGATGTCAAATGGAGCCCGGAGTCGCTCTCTTTGAGGTTGTTAGTCAGGGATTGCACTAGGGATGTAAGTGACTAGTCGACTATCTGATAAGCTTATGCTTATAGGACAGTAGATTAGTGATGCGACTGGTCACTTCCCTACCTTGCTGCCTGTCAGAGAGCGGCACCAAAGGAGGGGAGCAGGAGTCGGTGCTGCAGGGAGCCAGCTTAAAAGCCAGTTTCCCCCCAGCACTGTCTCCACGGGGGGCAGGGGAGGTAGAGGCACAGAGGGAAACAGCGCAAGCAGGGACTGAAGCAGTCTCCCCGCTGGGGCTCCTGTACATTTCAAAGGCTGAGGCTCCACAGGGAGTGCAGGGCCAGCAGGAGTCCCCCACTGGCCCCATGCTCCCTGTGGAGCTTCCGCTTTTGAACTGTAGCAAGAACCCAGACTAATCGAATAGTCGATGGAAATCTCATCCACTATTCAACTATTAATCTAAATTTAACATCCCTAGATTGCACAGCATGCCAACGAGGCCTAAACCATTGATTTACGGCCTCGTAAGCAGCCTGACTTTCCCACGAGGGGGGGGGATCACGCGCAAGCACCTCATCAGAGCCCATGAGCGCCACTGGGTAATTGGCAAGTATGTCCAAACAGCTTTTCTGTTAGCACTAACAAGGTCATTAACATTCTCCCAGAGGACCCTAGCTAACGAGAGGCTCTATTAGCCTGGTTACCTGTTACAGCGTGTCTTTGTTTAAGAATATACCATTAGCCAAACCGAAGAGTCTTCACTGGACATCCTTGGGGTTCAAGGAGGAGAGTCGCTGTGATGTTCCACCCTATCGAGGACTTGTCCTTACCAAGATCACCTCCCAGACTCTGGCTCTACACAGCAGTGGCCAGGTGTATTTGTGCTTGTAAATCACAAATCCATCATTCTCTGCTCCTTCCCAATCAGATGGCAGGAGAGCTGGCTTATCTGATCCTGCGTAGCTTATTCTACATGAGAACTGTGGGGCTCCCTGTGTGATCTTTCAAGACCCATCAGTTACTCCAAGACCTAGCAACACTTAACACTCACATATACATCACCCACCTCTTTGGGCCAGAGAGAAAAGACTTTGTGGCATGCGCGGATGGAAAAACCTGGGCTATCCCAGGCCAAAATCTGTGGTTGAGTGCAGTGCAACCTTTTGCTCCACACATTTAAAAACTGACCATTGCTATGGTTTCTGGGCACTCTTAGCAAGCTCCACTGTCTCTAAGGGTATCTCAGCACTTCATTGCAAACCTGAGTCTGTAAAAGCCCCGCAGCACAGTTGCGACTGGTATTTGTTAGCTGACTGTCTCACAGGGCTCAGGCTGTGCAGCTATAAATTGTAACATAGATGTTGCTGGAGCACCAGCTTTGAGGCCCATCCCTCTCACGGGCAGAATTTTATTACTGTGTGCTTCCAACTCCATGTTTGAGCAGCCACATTACATCATAAGCCTGGGTTTACAATTGCTGGACCTGGATCTCACAGTCATGCTAACCATTTCTGACCACTTATTTTTCACATGGTTTTTCCAAATCCTCTCATTTGTGTTCAGTTAATTTCATTAAACTAAGCTCCATCTAAGCAGCCAGAAAACAAGATCAACCTGACGCAATTCACCTTGCAGCATTACTGGAACATTTTCAGTAATGGTTTAATTAGTCACAGATCTTAGTCACTTGAGCATTGTGCTGTACACATCAGCTCAGCACCGCTGCACCCCTCTCCCCCCCCAACACACACACGCTGTACCTCCTAAGTAACCAGCAGGAAATGCATCAGACTCCAAAAATCAAGGAAGAGTTCCTCTGAATTTTAGAAAAATCAGCGTACTCGTCTCCCATGCAAAAGGCGTGAGTAGAATGGGACCAGAAATGGAAACATGCATCTCCCAAAGACACAAAAGGGTTGCATAAAAGACTGCTGGGGGCAGAGGATGAATTCATACTGAAATGGGATGAGGCTTTATATAGCAAATATACTAAACGAATTAATGGGGATCAAGCAGACTTGGTCTAGTTTAAATACGGAGGAAATAACTGTAGGATTGAAGAAGTGATCAGCCAATTGATCACAAAATGATTTGCTTTTGGATTCTGTTTCTTCCTTTTGGAACTGAGGATTGTCTCTAACTCAAGGATCTGGAAATCCCTCTATAGGCCAGTTCCACAACACTACATGCAAGCTGCCAAATTCACATAGCAAAGCACTTTTACCATGTGTAAATAAGAAAGCCACCAATCTGCTCGGCTTTGGTGTGATTCACAGTTTACAAGCCTAGAAAACATGATGTGAATAGTAAAAGTCTAATTAATAAATATTTTAAATTACAGGAGTCCAGGGCAGAAGTCAAAAAATGTGCATGTAACTGCAGTTGCCATGACCACACATGCAGATGAGGTGTTTGCACATACAAATAATTAAACTGCTCATTGGGCCTGCAAATATCTAACTAATTTGTTCAACCATGATAGCTGCCCATGTAAATTAACCACACACAATTCAGATGGGATCCTAGACTCCCAGGCCAGATCCGCAGCTAGTGTAAATCATCACTGCGCCATAATGCAGCAAAAAGAGCCTATGCCAGCCGAGGGACCTGCCTGGTTGAGTTTTGGAAGTTGGGACCTTAAAGTGTTGTGTACATGCAGCAAGCCCTGCTTCTGCTCTGCTCTCACTGAAATGCTACATAAATGCTACTAGAATCACATGGTGAGCAGCCCTGAGTACAGAGGAAAGTGGATGGCCCAAGATAATGGGTTAGTTTTAAACATTCAAAGTCTGCAGGTGATATTGGAATCTGTAGCTGTAGCTACAGCCCTTCACTGGACAAGAGGCAGTACAACCTTTCAAGTTCTGGTTATCTGCTTTGGTGAGTCACAGAGCCCAGAACTCTACTGTTCGTGTAAAGAGAAACTGGCAGAAGCAGCCTGGACGATGCAGCTAATCAAGGACTCAATCCTGTGAAATCATGCTCCTGGGAGAAGATCTTACTTATACATGCAACTTCAACAAAGCCACTCTAGCAAGTGAGCAGGCTCCAGGCCTGGACTGTATGAGCACATGCGGCAGGTGAATGTTTTCAAAACATACATGAGATACGTCCAGCGTTCCATTTTTCCTTCTTCCAGGGGTTGATCCTACTAGGTGATGAGCACTCCATCTCCAATTCAGCAGAAAGACTTGACCATGAGATGCATTAGAATTAATTATGCGTTTGAATTAATGCACTCAAGGGCTCTGCTGGATCAGGGCTAGAATACTCAACTCCCTGCAGCACCAAGCCCTCCTACATTGCTTTGGATTTTATTGTTGGTGACAGATCTCTGCTTTGTGAACAAATATAGGATGAATAATAATAAATCAGTCAGGAAAATCTGTGGAGCAATGTGGTAGTTGTGAGGAGCTCCAGACTTCTCCTTCTGTCACTGCTTTTCCCACCATATGCTCTGGGAACCATCTCTACTTGTTTTTCTCCTTTACAAACTCTCAGTCACACAGAGGCACGGCCAAGTGATCTAAAGTGAAACCCACCAGGAAATGAATTACTACACTGTCAGCAGGCTTTGAAGGTGTCCATGCTACTTCACTGCGCACAGCAGTATACTTCCCATTAATACGAGTAACTGGCCTGCACGGTGTGGCTTTCTGTGCAGAAGGAACATGCTCAGGTGTTCAGGGAACTAACAAGAAACAGCAGGCAATTCGGGAGAGCCCATGGGGAAACAGACAAACAGCAAAGCAGGGCATTTAGATTTCTAAGATCTTCTTTCTCTACATACAAGAAAGAATGATCAGCTCAGAATGAGAAGACCCACGGCGAGACTCACCATGCCCACCGAAAAGACTGCACGGCTCCTCAGCTGCCGGCTCCCACAGGCAGGGATGGCATCCTCAGCTGTCCGACGAGGCAACTGTTGTGTAGTCCAGGGTAACATGAGGTGCACACTAGACAACTTGCATTACTCAGCCCTTAAATAAATATGTGGCAGCAATCAGTGAACTGTACAGCTGGAGCTAAACAAAGGCCTGGATTTGCAGCCATGACGGAGCTGGACTACAGATACTAATCAGGAATCATTAAGGTCTTGTCTACATACAGCAGTGGTACTGCTTTAACTATACCAGTGCACTGAAACCAATACAAACCCCTCCTCGCCCCCACCCCCAAGCATAGGCACAAGTACACTGTTATCAAGGTGCTGGTTTCCAACATCTTTATCTTGGTGTAACTGCATCTGTATTAGGGGGTGCACTGACATAACTATCCATTAAAAAAATACCCCACCCCTCACTGAAATGGTTATTCTGATACAACAACTGCATGTCAAGCACAAAGTGGAGAGGCATTTCTCTCCAGTGCACAGCAGGGGGAGCCCCTTCTCCCCCCCCCCCCCCCCCACCCATTTCCACACCTGACAAATTACTAAGAGGCACTGATGGGACCAAAATTGCTCCCCACCTCTCCTTCCTCGTCTAATGGCCCACCATAGCCCAGTACTAATGGAATAGATCCTATGTATTCTGTTGGACTCATCAGCCCTTTATTAGCAGTTCCTGTGTCTCATTACTTTCCAGCGGGTTACTTTCCAGCACTCTCATATCCCTTCCAATCACCAAGGAAGCCAGCAGTACCCATGCGGGATGAAGGTTCAAGCTAGGGATGTTAAATATCTGTTAACTGAATAGTCACGTAACTTCATGAATTCTTACTGGTTAGTTGACTATTCTATACTCCTCGGGGGTGGGGGCGGCAGCTGCACAGGGTGCCAGGCAGGAGCTAGACCATGAAGGGAGCCAGTTTAAAAACCAGCTCCTCTTGCAGACCTGCTGCTTGTCACCCTGTGCTGCCTCTGATAAAGAGGCAGCAGTGCGAGGTGGCAGCAGCTCCTGTCCGGAAGGGGGGAGGAGAGGGGGAAAAGAGGGATAGTCTGAGCTCCCAGAACCAGCACAAACTGGAACAGAGCCGGGCTGCCTGCCCACCCAGTTCCTAATACACTTTAAATGCAGAGTCAGTGAGGGTAGGTCCCAGACCCAGTGTGAGCCAGAACTGAGCTGGGCTGCTGGCCAGCCTGCTAAAAAAAATGTACTGGTGTTGCAGGGGGGAGGGGAGGGGAGAAGAAGGGAAATGCATATAGTCTATAGCATTAACCTATAGGCTTCTATTTATCAGTTAATCGACTACACTATTACATCCCTAGTTCAAGCACACAGCTGAGGATATAATATGCTGCAACCCATTGTTTCAGCTGACCGGAGAACAAACGAACAAACGAACGAGCAAGCACACACACTTTGGATTGGTCATTTTCAAGATATTCCCACAACAGATACTGAAATTAACAAATATGAACAGAAGGCTGTGGTCCAACAAACACACCAAGGCAAGAGAACATTCTGATACAGACAGTGAGTAAGCTGGCTTGGCTTACGTACACTCTGCCTTAATGGGGAGAAGATTAGGGAGAGAAAGAGTTGTAAATAGAGAAAGAAAGACCCTTCCACAACCCTGTCTGTTTTGTCTATTTTGACTCTTAAGTTCTTTAAGGCAAGACTGTCTCAGAGAGGCCACGATCCCATATGGGATCCCTTGACACCATAGACTGTAATACAATAACATGAACGAAACAAGAGCAAAAGCCACCTTCTAATGACATTAGGGCCATGTTTTCACTAAACAGAAGATCGATGCTGCCGGATCAAGCTTCCAAAGTTCAATTTAGTGGTTCTAGTTAAGACCCACTAAATCAAACTCAGAGGGTGCCCGCCCTCCCACCTCTCCCCCATCAGCAGCCAGTACTGCTGCTTCTGCAAGGAGTAAGGGAAGTCAACAGGAGCATTTGCTCCCATCAACCTTCTGTTATGGGGACAGTGGGGGAAACTAAAAACAAGGTACCTCAACTCCAGCTACGACTCCTGTGGCAACAGGAGCAGGAGCTAGCAGCCCCGCAAGCTTGGGAATGTTCCAGTCAGGCTGGAGCGGTTTCCCAGGATCTTGCTTAATCAGTAAACCAAGTACAGGCAGTCCCCGAGTTACGCGGACCCGACTTATGTCGGATCCGCAGTTACAAACAGGGTTTGCTGCTCGTCTCCCTGGTCTGCTGGTAACCAGCAGACCAGGGAGACAGGGAGCAAAGCCGCAGAGCACGCGGGCAGCGGACAGCCCAGACGCACCGTGAGCTGTCCCCCTGCGGGTGTGCTCCGCTGCGTTGCT